ATTTGACACTTTGAAAAACATTATCGAAGTCTCTGATACTTTGTAAAACTTAATCGAAAACTTGGATACTTTGAAAACTTTGGCGAAAACTTTGACACTTTGAAAAACTTTATCGAAAACTTTGAAAAACTTTGACGAAAACTTTGACACTTTGAAAAACTTTGGCGAAAACTTTGACAATTTGAAAAACTTTGGCGAAAACTTTGACACTTTGAAAAACTTTGGCGAAAACTTTGATACTTTGAAAAACTTTGGCAAAAACTTTGGCGAAAACTTTGACACTTTGAAAAACTTTGGCGAAAACTTTGACACTTTGAAAAACTTTGGCGAAAACTTTGACACTTTGAAAAACTTTGGCGAAAACTTTGACACTTTGATTTACTATAGTTAACTATAGTTAACTATAGTTAACTATAGTTAACTATAGTATTTTTTTGTTAGGGGGGGCAGGGAACCCTGATCGAAGATAATTTTCCAACCCAAAAATTTCTTGACAAGCTAAAAAATGTGTGTGTGTGTGAGGGGGGGGGGGCTTTGACTTTTAAAGCTTCATATCTTCAGGGACGTAGCATCCGGGGGGGCCAGGGGGGCCTGCCCCCCCCCCCCCACTTTTTTCACCAACATAACTTTTACTATAGTAAATGTTCATTGATAGGATGAATTGGCCCCCCCACTTTATAAATATAGTATATTGATAGCAAGGATTGTAAGGAAAAAATTGGAATTGATAGTAAGTTGGTTTTGAAAAAGTTGGCCACTACCCCCCCCCCCCCCCCCCCCCCCCCCCCCCCCCCCCCCCCCCCCCCCCACGAAATAGGATTTTCGAGTTTGGGCAACAACTTATAATTTTCGGTTTTTTTTTTTTTGCTTGTCAACTGTTTCAGGTGAGTAAAAAAAATTCTCAGGTTGGCTCCCCCACTTTCAAAAACGATGCTACGTGCCTGATCTTTGACTTTTACTACCAATTTCACATATTTTCAATGAAAAAAAGAATAAGTGAAAGCCACTGGGAAGACTAGTAAATTTACTGTCCATACAATCACTACCTTAATAGAAAAATTGGGTAGATTTACTAGATAACATTAGTAAATCTAAACATTCATTAGTAACTTTCACTAAGTATTTAAGTATCTTTACGACCACTACACCACTTTTCACTATCTTAGCTAGTAAACAGAATGATAACTAATCACTGTCCATACAATTACATACTACTTTAAAAGTAGTTTAACTATGTAATTCTCTCAGTGATCTGTATTTTTACGTAGGGGTCAAAGATCTCTTTTAATTGACTGTATATACATTTTCAACTTCGCTAATTCCAAGGGAGTGAGAAGATCTAGACAGAATATCACTGATGCACGTACATGGAATTGCCCTTGGTATTTGGTTAGAAGGCAATAAATCTGGTACACATATATGTACACATTTATTGGGCATTTTAAAATCAAAATCTTACATCATTCAACCGCATAAAAATACATGAAACTATGAAATCATTTCAATGGTCTGTATTAATTGATAGCATCAATCAATACTACCAGGAGATGTTTGTTCGTATGTTTTGTCTATCAGGAGACAAGATCCAAGACAGGATTCTTCTTAGTTCCCGCCTGCAGGTAGCAATTACAATAACAGTTGGATGGGGGGAGGGCTACAGCTGGGGTCACTATCAACTACCAAAATTTCCTCAAAAAGCAAAAAAAAAAAAAAATTCATCAGACGTATTACCAATGGACACAAGCATATACTTCCTATCTTTTCTAAAGTATTTTATTTGTCGGCAAGATTAAGGAGGGGGGGGGGGGGGGGCAAGGTTCAAGATTAATTGCTCGCTTTGCTCTTTGGTGCACGGAAATGTCATTATTTCTGTCTATTATGTTGCACTATTTCGTTGGATACGTCTGGGAAACTGCTTAAAACTTAAAAAGTGTATTCAAAGTGTATAACGACCTGATAAATGACGTCTTCAGCCTGCTTTTTATTTAATTTCATAATATACATGTATGTTATTTCTTCTATACATATTCTCAGGTGAAACCTTCTGGATTCCTTTTTCCTTTTATAAAAATTAATTATTTTTGTGAATTTGGATTCTCACAATAGGAAAATACTAAGTGGAATAAAGTCTTTAACATCATTTATTTAAGAAAAAAAATGTTTTTTAATGAAAATTGACATCATCTAAAAAATTGCTAAAATTCAAGCTTTGTACACGTGCACTTTCTTTTTTCACCACAAAAACAACACAACGCCCACCTCACCATCCCCGGCTAAAACACTTGATAGAATATTCAATATTATTCTAATTCTGCTATTGTGAATTATTTTCCATCAGTGTAAATTTGTTACCTCTTATAAATAATTTCAACGTCATGTATTTAACGTGTTTAACGTCAACGTCATGACGTCATAGTATTTCATTCGAAAAAAAACAATGCTTATTTCAAACACATGTAAAAAGAAAACTATATAAGATATAGTTAAAAAATAAACTGTTTTACAACATACACATACTAGACTATCATGCCACAAAAATTCATAAACGTTGAATACGGTGCGGATTTTGATGCTTCGTGGCTCTTGTTCTTTTAAGGTGCACGGTCCTATACAATTTCCTAGATTAATCTAGTGGCCATGCTTGGATTCGTGCATATGAAAACGACTTTATGCCAATTCAACGTGGGCGATTTTTAGAAAGGTACTTGGACACAGATTTAAAGTTAATATTTTCTCTGTAATATATTACGACTTACCGTATATATTTCAATAGCATTCACACAAACATTAATTAAAAATCTTATTTCAAATTTCAAATTTTTTGGCGGCTTTGATTGAATCTTCCTTGCACTTTTACAAATTTTAATTTTATTCTTAATAATAAGGAAAATTGGCAATTGTGTTGTGTTTAAATGAACGAGAGTCAAGACGCCCATGGGCCACATCGCTCACTTGAGAAGCTTTGAGCATTCCGTTCTTTACCAGATTTCACCCTTTTAATACGTATTGAAACCCAATCCTACCTCACTGATAATAATTTAGACAATTTGAAATCTACCATAGGATGCTTTGATTCCCCATTGTAAAACTTTTAGTTTCAGCTTTGCTGGCCCAGTGGTTCTTGAGAAGAATATTTTAAAAGATTTTTCCTAAATATTTATATGTAAAACTTTGATTCAACATTATGGCCCCGCCCAACCCCAAAGGGTCATGATTTGAATACTTTAGAATCTACACAACCCCAAATTTATGTGCTTCCACATAAATTTAAGCTTTTCTAGCCCAGTGGTTCTTGGGGAGAAGATTTTTAAAGATTTTTCCTATATATCTTAATGCAAAAATGCCATTCTTCATTGTGGCCCCGTCCTGCCCCTGGGGGTCATGATTTTAACAATTTGGAACTTACACTACCCCAGAAGCTTCCACATAAGTTTCAGCTATTCTGGTCCAGTGGTTCTTGAGTACAAGATTTTTTTAATGACCCAACCCTTTTTTGTCTTTTCTTGATTATCTTCCCTTGTGAGGGGACTTGGTCTTTATTTCAACAATTTAAAGTTTCCTTTATCCAAGGCTTCTTTGTACCAAGTTTGGTCAACATTGGCCCAGTGGTTCTTGAGAAGAAGTCGAAAATGTGAAAAGTTTACAAACGGACAGACAGCTAGACGGACGGACGACGGAAAAAATGTCAGCCTTCAGCTCAGGTTAGCTAAATTTATGAATACTATAATCCAGAAAATTCAGAGTATACATGCTGAAAGCAAAACAAACACACAATATATTGTCAGTCCATGCAGTAGTGGAGAGCAGACTTTAACGATTGAACGCACCCGGTGAATTGTAAACATCAAAAATAACGGAGCTCCTGTCGTGTTTACAAAAACTGTGTACATAACACGAATGTGTTCGATTGCTAAACTCTGTACACAACACTATCTCGGAATGACGATACTTGTGAAGGAATTTTGCTTTCTAACATTTCTACTCTGAATAAATTTATTTTTCTGGATTAAGATTTTAATATTTATCATTAATACACAACAAGATTACCACTAAGGATTAAGAATAAAGTTAAAATTTGTGAAAGTGCAAGGATGTGTCAATCAAACCAACCAAATAAACTGATGTTTTAATAACTTTTAAATGAAAGGAGATTTTTAATTAATTTTTGTGTGAAGTGCTTTTTAAAATATATGTCATAGTATCATAGAGAAATTATAAGCTTTAAATCTGTGTCCAAGCAGTACCTTTAAAGGTTTAAAACTAATAGGGTTTTGAAATAAATTACAATCGGGAATCAATTCGGACTGCAGTTGTTCCTAAACAATCAGAAAACTATGACGCCCGGATACTAACAACATTTCTGAAATTGAAAAGAAAAATATTCCCCTACCTACCGACCAAAACGTATTAAGACTGAGTCGGCTACGCCAAACCAACAATATTTAATTGAGATTAAGTTTTTACCTTAAAAAAGATATCAAATGGAAACATCTTGTAATTGGATTTAGCTCTGAGCGCATTAGAAAAATTGTATCACTAAACGCACCCATCTCTTATGTTGCCTATATAATTTACAGGTATGAGATGTATTGTCTACTTAATTCCTTGGATGAAACTAGCTATCACATTTTTAATCATGTTAAATCTTCATTTTTTTCTATGCCTACATTTTGAAAAAGTTAAACACTCTAGTATACTACAGACTTTTTAAAAATTTTGCATAGAATAGTAGTTTTTCTGATAACATGTTTCAATTGTAAGGTCACACTGTCTTATGTTTGTACTGTAATTTCTCTGTTATATATAATTCACTGTTTGTTGGTATTATGAAATGAACATAAAATTATCAAAAAAAAAAAAAAATTATAAATACTTACCTTCAATCTTTTCTACTTTTCCTGTAACAGAGTAGAACAACATTTTAAGATAATTTTCTAGGCAATTATTGAATACTTTTCATTTTTTTTTCTTGTTTTGAAGTAAGTAGTAGTAATATTTACCTTCTAAGTCAAGAACGATTTCTCGTGTTGATGCATCTTCTTTAGCTTGTTTCCGCAACTCTTCTATGTAATAAAGATCACGAACAGGGTCCATTGTCTCCTTTTCCAAGAAATGCAAGCCTCTTACATATTGGTTTCGGTTGTTAAGGAAAGAATCAATGTCCATAACTGCTGCTCTGATGGTGGACCAGACTTTGTTGAAATCAACATTGGAAAGCATGGGACTAGATGAATGAACACACTGATTTCTGGTAATACGAATTCTCTCAATGTTGGCAGAAAGACATCGGTCTGTAGGGTCTGGATCATTTCCCCAGCCATTGCTATGTGGTGGTATACAACAGATGTTTCTAAGTAGTATGTACAATAAGGAAATATCCATATCACTATAGTTTCCGGAGTAGCTACTGCCTCTGGGTATAATTAAATTCATTTGTGGTGTTGTCAGACGGGGAAGACTACTTATCTTTTGTTTAATGACCTGTGGGAATCTTGACGGTGGTACAAAGTGAAGTAAAACATCCCTCAGTTGATCTGTACATGGACCTAAGAAAAGTCGACAGGCTCTACAGGCATTCGTTGTCTCCTCTGTGGACGCGTAAGGGGAGGCTGCCATAGCCATTATTTAATGCCTCTCTGAAAAGAAATTCAAATGCAATTTTCGCTTTTAAAAGAATGAATTCTTACATGAAGAGTTTTCTTTATGTAAAGTATCTGGGCTTTAAAATCATAAAGCTATGCGGGTTTGTTAAGGCAGCACACTGATCAGATCAGAATTCGGCGAATTAGCACTTTTTTTTAATATGTAACACTAATAAATCGGAAAAGTGATGGATAAAACATTTGCTACCATCATGCATTCCATATACATCAATGGGGTTTATATTACAAGAAGCACTTCACCACGACGTCACCACGTGACATCTATAATTAGAAAATATGCCTTAATGAAAAAAGTGAAAAAAAAACACTACCTTTGGAATAATTAATTTCAATTTGTAATACTAGTAATAGTTATGTAAAAAATCTTTTTTTTACATTTTGTTCATAAGATAAAAAATTTGCATCACTTCCCGATAACCATACGATTCTAGCAGCACGATCTAAAAACAATAGAATGAGAAATTAAAGCTGACATGAATTCTTAAAACGCAACATTTTCATCTATGTACGACTTGTTTCATACCAACGATAGCCGTATTCCGCCATATTTCTTTCAGATACCTTGTCTCATTGTAACGATGTATACCCCAATGCGCTCGTTACAGTTCAATGATTTTTTGGTTTGCGTATCGACTTGTGCACATCTCCGATGGTAAAGCATATATGAGATCACATAAGGATATCAAGACATTTCAAAACCACAATAAACAAAATAATAATCATATTTCTGAATAATTATTGATTTGAATCAAAAGAAAAGAAATGCAAGTTTGGTGAGAAATTTAGATGCACGAGTACGTATTTTTACAGTGCGACAATTTATGCAGAATAAACTTGAAATAAAAAGCAGTTAAATCTGCAACACATTTAGAAATTATTATTATTTGAATGGCGTAAAACAACCAACGTCTTTGATTTGCAGCCCCTATGCAATTGGTGCATATCGAGAAAACGCCTCGAACGCTGTAAACGTACCCATGTACCTGGTAAAAAGGTTACTGCATCGGTTCGAAGATGTGCACAAGTCAAGTGATATACACCCTGAATTCCATTTATTGAAATATGCATCACAATAAAGAAATAAACTCCGTAAAAGCTCAATAGTAAACACACTGTCATTACTCCGTACAGACAAGCACGTCGATACACCTAGTCCGTGCTAATCATATTTTGGTCAGGGAAAATATCACAAGTGGAAAGAGAAGTTATTTGGTTTTTGCGCGGCTGAAGGGGGGGGGGGGGGGTTATAACTGCTGTTCAGAAGCTATAATTGTTAATTTTATTACATGTAGTTATAATATACATTATAATCAAAGTCATGTATATAGTCTGCAGTTGGTTTGCGTCGCAAAATTCATTTGTCAATTATCATGATTATAACTGATAATTGTAGTACTAATCTCAAATCTAAACCAAGTAATTTGATGTACGGCAATTATTTACTTCAAATCTTAAAAGCAATGACCCAGAATATTTTTTTTATGTGTATATAGATCTATACGTTCTTTAACACACAAACACACGAAGAAATGCCATCCACTGTTCAGATTGACATTTAGGCATTTGATTTTTTATGCGGGGTGGGGGGGGGGGGGGGGCGTGCAAAAATAATTGACATGACCGTTATCAAAATATTCTTGGAAGACGGACATCTCTGCCGAATTCAATTTTGAAAATTTTATTTTTAAATGTGTCACACCGACCACAATGTATGTGCATTTTGAGGTATGTATAAATGTTTTATAATTATGGTGTTATAGAGAGGCTTTTGAGATTTCACTATCCTTGTCTGATAGTGTAGGTACTTTTTTTATATTTAAAAATTATCTCTGTAGGAGTATTTGGGAGATAATTCTAAAAGCTAAGATACGAAGTCTTGACACTGGTTGAATACGGATAATTTTATTTACTAATTGTATATTGAACTAACTCTCTCTCTCTCTCTCTCTTTCTCTCTTTCCCTCTCTCTGTAACCATCTGTAACCATCTCTTAGGACAATAATAGGTATAAGATCCTACGCACTTTGTGCCGTCCATTTATTAATCCTTAGGACAGATCAAGAGTTTTTGAACTAGAGGTATTGTGAGCAATGAGCTCACTAAATGATACCCCCGCCGCCCATATGGTTATAAGAGGATTTGCAGATAGGAGATGGGTATCCTAAAGCGTAGCAGACCTACGGACGGACATAACTATTACTATATACCCTCCCACTTTTCAAGCGGGAGATAAAATAAACGTGAAATATACATCACAGGAATGGGTACATCGGGAACTTTCTCAAATACCTTCTCAAACGCATTGGCGTCGGAAGCAAATTGAAAGTGGGGGGGGGGGCTAAGTGCAAAGAAATTTTTTTATACATTCAAAATATCTGTCAAGCTTAAAAAAAGGGGGAATGTCCTTTTCCTAAACACAAATCTCCTATTTCGTGTGGGGGAAAGGGGGGTGGGGGTGGGGTGGGTTCGAACTTCAGTAACAAATTTTTTCTCCAAACACCAACACATTCCTCTTTTTTAACTTATACTGCGACTTGTCTGTGAAAAGCGGGGGGATGGGGAGGCTAAACCTACGCAGCAATATTCAATGTCTATACTAAGTATATATTTGTAACCCCCCCCCCCCCCCCCCCCCCCCGGTTCCGACACTTCAATGCTGAACCTGGACAAGAAACAAGAGATTTTTTAAAAAGCTAATTGTAGGTAGAATGTGGATTTCTCACGGGGAGTTTCCTCTCTCTTTTTATCTGTTTTTTCTAGTAATCATTAATTACTTATGTCTAGAAATTTAATTCACATTAAATTATCATTTCGTTATTATTGTACCACAGAATCAAACTAGTTTATTATACTCCCCGCAACAAGTTGCGTGAGGTAACATGTTTTGGACCCATCAGTCAGCCCTTTTTTTTTGGGGGGGGGGGGGCAGCGCAACTTCTTATAAACTAATGCACAGAGTTTTGTTGAACTATGCTGATATTCATAGGAGTCAATGTGTCTGTATTTGTACACCACCAGGAAATTCCGAAATCTTTATTTTTTCGGGAATTTCCGCACTTTTACATTTAGATTTTGGCCATATCTTGAATATAAAGATGAGCAGTTTGTCAGCACAATTCCTCATAAACCGGTGCATATAATTTCGTCAAACTTAGCAGATAATTAGGACACAACGTGTATAGATGTGCATATTACAAGGAAATTACGATTCCTTTATTTTTTCTGTGAATTTCAGCACTTCGACTTTTGTGGGAGCGTGGGGTATGTGACTTTACTCACTTTTTCTTTCATTGTGCATAAAATTATAAATAACTTTAAATCAAATTATATTTTGTCTAATAAAGCCAATACACAGTATTTATTTGATTATATTTGATCATAAAGAAATCCCATCTGTTTCAGACGTTTTTCTTAAAATGTTTTTATGAGAGGATATGCATGTTCTATCCCCCCCCTTCACAGGAAAATATCTTCATATCTTCAAAAGTTGAATGATTCGTAATGATGCATGCTTTATTATAAATTTGATGAAGTTAAACCATGTTTTAAAATTTTTATTTACACCATTTACAGACAAGAGTAATGTTTATTCTTGAAAAAAAAAATTATTTGCATTTTCTTCAGTCAACTCCACGGCGCTTTCAACCTTTGATATTTTCCCTGAACAAATAAAATGATCGGCATGGACCACGCGTGTCCAAGCAGTTTTTTTTACTGTTGAGTTAGCAATGGATAACATGATTTCTGAGATGCATTTTTCAATAAAAGTAAAATAGGATAATTCTTTCGACATGTGCACATCCCTGTAACGATAGCAGTATATATTCAGGTAAATATTTCTATCACTGCATTTGACGCGTTTTCTCGACTGACCTGCATGGAATTTTTGCTCTACTTGAATGTTTTCCATGTAAGTGTATTTTCTATATTGCAGCAAATGGATTCAAAAATAATTTTATTCTCGGTATGATAGTTCTAGTTTTTGTTGAATTTTTACTTTTCAACCATGTATTGCATGGTCAGTTTATGGACTCCTCTTAAAACTATGATCTCGGAGATGTGCACATGTCGACAGCCGGGATAGAAAATCACTCAAGTGAAACAGTTCTAAAAGGCTATATATAGCAGGTACAAGTGGCCAAAAATGTTCGATTAAATATGGCGGAATCGAAGAAATATGGCGGACAAAGGCGTACAGGAATGAAGTAAGTCGTACAAAGATGAAAAATGATGCCTTTTTAAGAGTTCATGTCAGCTTTAAGATAGAAATAAAAATTAAGTTTTGAATTAACGCGGCGTAGTGTTGAACTTTTGCATCTTTTTTTGTAACGAATGACAAAGGAAAGACTGGTCAGCAAATAAACACACTGTCTGCTTTTAGTGCACAAAGAAATTGTAGAATTGTAGATATGAAAGGTCCATGTATGCTCTGCTCCTGTTTTGTATTGGTTATGGACTTTCGATATCAAATAATGATTGTTATCTCCAAATGCTTCATGTACCTCCAAAAGTAAATAAAATTATCAAATTGCAGACATTAGAATTGCATTACATATTCCATTTTAATTAAAATCTCAGTGAACTAAAAAAAATAATGCTAAGACATAGCCTGTTAAGTTTCTTCAGTGTTTTGTTAATTTTCATATTAGTTGGTTAGGTGTTATTGTATTGGATGTTTCAATATTAAGAAATTTGTATTGTTTTGTATTTAAAGTAAATCTCAAAATCTTGACCTTTTATTATGGGCATAGAAATATAGCACTTCAAAGTTCAACTTTCATTTCTCAGAAACTTAGAAACGTTGAGAAAAAATAATTTACTAACATTTTAAATTACAATACACAAATCCTCTGTATTTTCTATCCTGGTTATGCATATACAATTCAATGAAACGGAATAAGTACTCAAGATTGACTTATGACCTTGGATATTATTTCCTATATCTTATGTATGTATGTTTTAGGTAGAGCATCGATGAACATCAAAAATAATCTTTCTTTCATATAGAAAGTATTTGTATGTACAGAAAAAAGAGAATTTTTTTTCTTTTGAAAAAAAAAGATATATCATTATCTAAAGTTAGAAGACTAGCCACTGTACAAATATTTACGTTTTTACGTAACTACTGAATGCTCCGTCGAACTAATAATATAAGAGGGTCCATGGCTGAAGTGACTGGTCAATTAATACCGCCTCTAGAATTCAAAGGTTGTCCGTGCCCTGATTTCAAATTTCTATTGTTTATAAATGTTTATGATATCAATCATTGTCCGTTATTTTCAGTTTGTAAGTTTTCTAACTTAAGTAGTGAAAGTTAAATACAGTAAAGATATAGTTGAATGGAAATGAAAAGTATAAAACTGTACCTTAACCTTAGGTTTTGAAAATCTCCAATCAGGTTAAAGCTGTGGATTCTTTTGCATTTGTTCATTGATTGTTACTACTTAATGATGTCAATTCAGGGACTCATTAAGGCACATTGCTTTGAATATAAATTTAATTAATCTTATATTTACTGGAGTACACATACACACAGTGAAATTAATTTGGAAAGTTTGAGTGTTTATTCATTTGAGGAAGTACCGTTCACGGTAGCCTAGTGGTAGAGCGTTCGCTTCGTGATCGGGAGGCCCGGGTTCGATTCTCGTTTCCGGCGCTGCGTCAAACCTAAGACGTAAAAATAGGTAGCAACTGTTCCTTCGCCAAGCGCTCGGCATCAGAAGTGAAAGTCGCGGGTCTTTCGGATATGACCTTAAAAACGTAGGTCCCGTGTCACGGTAGGCGCTGGCACGATAAAGCTCACTGCTCAAGGGCCCTGAGTGCCGAGTATAGGTCTAAATTTGAAGCCCTTCACCGGCATACGGTGACGTCTCCATATGAGTGAAAAATTCTCAAGAGGGACGTAAAACAATATACAATCAATCAATCAATAATTTTAGGAAGTAAAGTGTTATTAACAAAGCTAGGTTTACTAGAAATATATCCTCGTCATTACTTAACCTTTTCTTTGGATGTTTAAGGTAAAAATGAACTCGGGCAACGAAAATTTTAAGTAGGGCGTAAGTTTCCGTGAAACTCGTTTTTTTACATATAAGGAGATTATTCTTTCTTCTCTGAATTGTCTCTTTTTTAGTCATCTCAAATTCATTCAATAAAAGAAAAAAACAAATAATATTTTGTCATGGAATTAGCTTGGACTACTGTGATTTTGTTAACTTGTGTAGTATATTCCTGAGAATGACGTACATATCACATGGAGTATCACATGCTTTTGATAAAGACATTTACGAAAATGTTTCGTAGTAACTAATTTATGATGACATTAGATCATCAATCATTACACTTATATGAAATTAAATCATTTTAATAAATTTCATCTAAGAAAAGCTAATTATTACAATAATCGAGGAAATGTTGCCTAGAAATATACACAGCTAATTGTGCCTCGTACGTGTAACATATGGTTGCACATAACACATGTATTACGTATGTGAAATGTACGTATCACATACGTGTATTACAAACATACGTTTCACGTATGTGGTACAACATACGTATAACATATGTGTGACTAAATGCGTTTCACATAACGTATGTTTGGAATACATGTATGTGTTACGTCTGTGAAACGTACGTATAACATATGTTATGTGCAACCATACGTTACACGTACGTAAATGAACGTACGGTTTACATGTGTATTGTCAACCACATGTTACACGTACGTTTATTAACATATGGTTTACAAGTGTATAGTCAACCACATGTTACACGTACGTTAATGAACTTATGGTTTACATGTGTTTTATAAAGCACAAATGTCATTTATATATATAGTTTATGTGCATTATAAACCACACATTAAATATACTGATGTACATAAATAAATTATGGTTAACTTGTATTCTAAAGCTCTCATTACATATATGTTGATGAATATAGTATGTGTATTATCAATCACATATTACATATACACTTAAAAAGGTGTTTTACATGTGTGTGAAAGCCTTTGTTTGAGAATTAGAAGGCTGTATATTTTGTAAATTCATACTATTACATACATGTATGATAAATGTAGGTTGACTATAAATCTAATCCTTTTTATTTTTTTTCAAATTTAATTTATTAATCAAATTATCATTTAGTTTTAGCTATAGAGAGAAAAAAACAATGCGTTAAACATTTATTGTTGCTAGGGACTACATAATTTCACTTAAAATACAGGAACTTTTTGTATAAAAGTATGGCTGACTTACACAACTAACTATTTTTCTTTAATAGTTTAAGTGATTTTGGAGAACTAATCAAGATATTATTTGACATAACAATCAATAGGCACTTAGGGCTTAACCTGTTATTCAGGAAGAAGAGCAATCATAGTGATATGACCATCTATAAAATCCTTCTTATAACATGTATAACGGGTCCTTAGATCAGAAGTTGCATGTATTTTAATAATTATAATATTTCAAAATCTAAAATATATTTTTTTGACATAAACATTATGATATTTGGTTAAACCCTATCACAACTGGAGCATATATGTGAAACGGTTGGAGGAGTTACCTCCCGTTGGTTGTTTGTATAATAGTAGATAATTAATGTGAATATTGTAATTAATTGGTCGATTGACATAAGGAAATTACAAGAAATATTGATAAATGATGTTGTCTTAGAAAAAAGTAGTTGTATTGCCAAAAGGAAGTCTAGTTTTTGAAAAGATTTATCACCACACAAATAGTCCGTCGTTGAGTACACTTTGCCGTAGACAACGTGAAGAATTTTGGATCAGGAAACTAGGAAAAGCCTTTCCCTATGGATGTAATGACAATGTCGATAGTGTTGGAAATCTTACCAGCCCACAGTGTAATAATGTAAATGTGATGAGAGTTTTTAACAATACTCAGAGACGTAAGCGTAGTCATTGACATCGTTCGTACAATAAACCTACAATACACGACGTCTCTTTTGATTCATTACTACCTTATGTAAATCAACAGTTAGGTCTACATCATATTCGAACCAAACTTTACTCTGTCCCTTTGAAACTTTTAAATAGTCTTCTTGAAAAGACCAAGGAACATCCAAATTTAGATTCCTCGACACCTGAATATAGGCTCGGTTCTGTGATTATGGATATTGCACATCATAGGCTTTTTAAACCCGCACAATTCACGGAAGAAAATGCAGCTAAAACAATCCGTCTTTTCCTTAAACTTCAATATGCCAATAAAGGAATTGACGCGGTTAATATAAGTAATATTCTTAGTCACAAAAGGGCCCAGTCTTGTATTCCACCATATTTCAAGTTAAAGACTACGCCTTGTATTTCCTACAAATATACATCGACCATTGCTTCCAAACTTTTCAATTACAAAAACACTTTACATGGCCTGGATATTGACTATCTGAAAAATAATCCCCTTTCGTGTTAATGTTCTTCTTCGCCCTATAACTATAGTCCTGCTCGACATGTTATCACAGGTGACGTAAAAATAGTTCGTAATGAGGACCTTAGATCACTTATTTTAAAAGGTCCTAAATATAGGGAACCCCGATCCTTCAACTGGCGTCGGAATTTCATAAATATTATGGATTCTGTCGAAAATTACGCCAGACGATGGGCTAAATATGAAAAAGAAGACATTGACACCTTGTCAGAATGGATTAAATGTATCAGATCCACGTTAAAGTCACGAATTAAAAGATTGAGGGGCAAAGTGAAAACCATCTATCCTTCTGTGTTCAATAAACCAGAAGTGAAAAAAAGAATTAGATGGATTACACGATCAGTACGTACTGCTTCCTGCCGACAAAGCAGGTAACAACATTGTCTTCGTTTGTAAGGCTCATTATATAAATTGCATTCTAGAAGAACTTGGATTTAATTCTACAAGTGGTAATCCTACTTATACATATACTTCTCTTTCTAAGGAAGAAATTCTTCAGAATCACCTGTCAGTATTGAATACTTTTAATATTCCACAGAGCCAAAATGAATTTGAACTACCTTATATATATTGGATTCCGAAACTTCATAAGAGTCCTTACAAAGAAAGATACATTGCAGGTTCCAGTAAATGTTCAACCAAGCCTATTTCGTTACTTCTCACTAAAATATTGACAGTAGTGACGGAAAAACTTCAAGAGTACTGTACAACTATATATTCAAGAAGTGGTGTAAGACTTTACAAAAATCAACAGCATAAAAACTTACGACTTTTCAACTTTATACACAACAATTCCCCACGACAAATTAAAATCCAGGCTTTTTGATATCATTGACAGCTGCTTCTTCAACAAAAATGGAACTCGTAAGTTTACTTACCTCGTCATTGGTCATTTGAAAAATTATTTTGTTAAAACAGATTCTGATTGCACACATAAGTACTCTGAAGTTGACATCAAGAAGATGCTTGAGTTTCTGATTGACAATATCTATGTGGTTTTTGGAGACCAGGTATTCCAACAATCTATTGGAATTCCCATGGGTACAAATTGCGCTCTGTTATTAGCAGACTTTTTTTTATATTCATATGAAGCAGAATTTCTGCAAAATCTTTTACGTGAAAAGAAAAAAACACTTGCTGTGGCCTTCAACTCGACATTTAGATATATCGACGACGTATTGTCAATTAATAATGATAATTTCCATTCCTACGTCGACACGATATATCCTGGTGAGCTTGAGATAAAAGATACCACAGAGTCCAACACTTCTGCTTCATACTTGGATATTTTACTTGAAAAATACAATAATGGTAATCTAACAACCAAGCTATATGATAAACGTGATGACTTTAACTTTTCTATCGTCAACTTCCCTTACTTATGCAGCAATATACCTTCATCACCTGCATACGGAGTATTTATATCTCAGTTGATTCGATATGCAAGAGCATGCTCTACGCATGAACAATTTCTTAAACGAGGTAAATTATTGACAAGCAAGTTGATGCAACAAGAATATCAGCGGTCTCGTTTGAAGTCATCATTTCGTAAATTCTATGGTCGATACAATGACCTTGTCAGCAAATACAATTTATCATTGAATGAAATGCTGACTGACGTTTTTCATACCAATTGTTAGTCCATTATTTATACACTGAATTGACCACGGATTTTTTCCGTTATATCCCGATTATGACAACGAGCACACGGCGGGTGTGACCGGTCAGCAGGTGATGCTGACTCCTCCATGGCACCTGATCCCACCTCTGATGTTTCGGGGGTCCGTGTTTGCTCTGCTCTTGTTTTGTATATTTGTTTAATGGACGTTGAGATTGAATACTGTTCGTTATTTCCATATCCTTGGTATATTTTGTAAATACGAAATCAGGAAACTTATGATCATTGATTAAGTTGAGATACAAAGGGGCAGTGCAGCCAACTGGCTTGTGTCTTCGCCTTGATACAGAAACCATTTGGAATATACAAATCGGTTGGTGCAAAGTTGCCGTAGTGACCAGTTAATAAATAGCTGTGTGGCATTAGCTATAAGATTGCCATATGGACAGAGCAGTCCTTGATAGATCATTCA